AGCCATCAGAATCCTAACGTATCTTCAGCTGAGCTCTAATGCCAACCCCCAAACTGACTCCGCCTGCGATTTTCCCCAGTACAGTTGCAGGAAGCCCTGTCCCTTCAGTTGGTCAAGCCAAACAATCTGGAATTATCCTTATCTCCTTCCTTCCTCCCTTCTTTCTCTCTCTCTCTCTCTCTCTCTCTCTCTCTCTCTCTCTCTCTCTCTTTCCTTTTTTTCTTTCTTCCTTTCTTTCTCTCACACTCTTTGCTCTACCTTTAAAATATATCCGGAATCCAACCACTTCTCACCTTTCTCCTGCTACCAGGTCTTACTGACCATGACTGTCTCTCCTGGATTATTCCACTAGCCTCCTAACTGACCTCTGCTTCTACCCATGCCCCTCATCAGGTTCTCAGCACAGCAGCCAGAGTGACCTTGATAAAAACATCAGTCAGATCACTCCAACCTGAAATACCTCTGCTTCAAAATCTGAAGTGACTCTCCAATTCACTTAAGTAAGCATCAAAATATGTACAAAGCCCTTTATGTTCTCTCCTCTTCCTCTCCCCTCTGACCGTACCTTCTGTTATTCTGTCCCTCTCTCACTTGCTCTAGCTACAGTGGCCTCCTTGCTGATCTTTGGAAATGCCAGGCACAACCTGCCTGAGGGTCTTTGCATCAGGTCTTCCTCTGCCTCTGCTGCTCTGCCTCCGTTATTTGCGTGGCTCCCTCCCTCGCTTTCTTCAAGTGTTTGCTCAGTGTCACCCTCTCTCTGAGACCTGCTCTGACCACCTATGGTATCATAAGAAATATATTTGGTCTTTGTTCCTGGTTCCTGGCACAGAACCCTTGTAATTTTTTGAACGTTATGGTTGCAAGGAGTATCTTTTTTTCTCATATTTGGTCTTTAACCCTGGATCCAGACACTGAGCTTCTAAGACCCTTAGAATCTCTGGAGTACAAGGAGTACAGAGTGTCTTTTGGTTTGCTAGTGAGATGACTGGTGGCTGGGGGACCCTAGATAGCCTCAGCTTGAGGGGACTGGTCACAAGAAAGCAAGCCATGATTGGAACTTGGAACTTCCAGCCTCAATGCCCCATCTTCCAGGGAGGGGAGAGGAATAAGAAATTGAGTTAATAATTTGTCATGCCTATGTGATGAAGCCTCCATGAAAAAATCCCTAACTGTGGAATTCTGAGAGCTTCCAGGTTGGCGAACACCTGAGGTGCTGGGAGACGGCTGCCCGAAGGCGGCGTAGGAGCTCTGCGTGGCTTCCCCACATCTTGCGCTGTGTGTCTCTTCATCTGGCCATTCGCCTGTATCTCTTTAATATCCTTTATATGAACTGATAAACATAAGTAAATGTTTCCCTGTATTTTTGGGAGTTTTCCTAACAGATTATTGAACACAAGCAGTAGGAGCCCCAGATTTATAGCTGGTTAGCCACAAGTACAGGTGACAGACAGCCTTGGACTTGGCGATTGTCACCTGAAGTGGGGCCAGTTTTACGGGACTGAGTCGTTAATCTGTGGGGTCTATGCTGACTCCAGGCAGTTAGTGTCAGAATTAGGTTAAATGGTAGGGTCTCCAACCTGTATGCACTGAGAAGTGGAGAATTGCTTGTGGTGAAAGCCCCCATATTTACTTGCAGAAGTGTTGTGAACAGAGTGAAATACAGCGGTAGTTCTTGCTGCCCAGCTCTCTCACAGACCTCACTGGCACTTTGAGTCTGCCAACAACTCTTCTCTGTAGAACTCATCACTTTCTAATCTTATTTTTAACGTTTACTTTCTCTAAGCCTAGTGCATATTTTGTTTTGATGTGCCTCAAGTGCCTAGAACAGTGTCTAGAACAGAGTAGTTCCTCAGAATATTTATTGAAAGAATGAGTAAAATTTATTTAACAAAGACTAACAACCTAGAAGAAAAATGGTCAAAGAATATTAATACTTAACAAAAAGGGGAAAAATTGATTGTAAATATATGTGAATATGCTTAATCACACTTAAAATAACAGAAATGAAAATTCAAAGTATCTGAAATACCTTTTTTTAACCTCTCAAATGATCAAAATCCCAAATGTGACCAATTGTTGCTTAGATTGTGAGAAAACAGCCATCTCTCAGACTGTTGGTGGGAGTCAACTTTGTATATCTCCTATGTAGAGCAATCGGCAACTATGTGTAAGATTTACAAACATCTTTTGAACTAACAGTCTTTTGAACTGAGGACTTTTCTTATAGATACATCTGTACAGGTAAAGAATATCTATGTAAGATTATTAATTTAAGCGTTATTTTAATAGTAAAAAACTGGAAAACAACTAAAGTGCCCATCAAGAGAAGACCAATAAAATAAAGTATAATACATCCACACATTGGAATAGTTTCTGTTAAAAAAAAAAAAAAAGACCAAAGATGCCTTTTAAGCTCTGAATGGAAAGGTGTCCAAGATACAGTATTAAATAATAAAATTAAGGTGCTGAACAGTGTACATAGTACGTTCCTTTTGTTCATAAGAAAAGGAGAAATATAAGAGCATATCTTCATTTTTGCTTTTGTTTACATAAAGAAATTTGGGAAAGATAAACAAGAAATTAATAAAAATGATCACCTGGGTGGGAGGCAGGAAATGGAGTAAATGTTGACACCACAGGGACACGAGGTGGCTTTTGGTGGTGGTATGTAGTATGTTACCTTGATTACGGTGATGACTTCATGGGCATATATATGTGAGAATGTATCCAGTGGAATATATTTTTTCCAATGGAATATTTTAATATTTGTAGATTAGTATATCTCAATTGTATCTCAATAAAGCTCTTAAGAATAAATATGTTTTTAAAGAAAATAAACTTGATTTTGAAACAAAAGGAGAGAAATGGTTCAGCAGCTAGAAAGAGATGCTGAGTTGAGTGGTGTGTACTGGGGTGGGGGGTGTTGTTCTGTTTTATGGAACAAATTCAAGGAAATTCATAAATTATAAGTATATATATTTATAAGCATAGAAAACTAAAGAAAAGAGAGGAGACTATTAATGGAACAAAGTTCTGAAAGAGAAGAGACAGAATATTCGGAGCCCAAGGCCAGGGGAAGCAGCTGCAACTGGAGAAGGGATAAAGATGTAAGGATACATGTAAGGTACAAGGGTCTGTATTTTATTCTCTAAATGCTGAACCCTGAGATTAAGCTCTTATATTTGAGTACCAGTGACATTATCTTAAGCTAAATTAATAAAACTTCCACAGTCTTCCCCACTCAAGATTGATGCATCTCCCTAGAAGTAAATTCTCTCAAATTCACTGACTCTTCTAAATCTAGGTTTTAACTGATGAGAATCTGTGATACACTCTAAAAAATAAGATTATTTTATTAAAAAGTGGAGTGCTTTCCTCCTCATCAAGGAAGGGCTTTAAATTAGGTCTTTTGCTCTAACTTTCTGTAAGACTCTTCACTTAAGCACCCCTGAGCAGTGCTGAGAGCCCTGGCATTTTGTTCCCTTGGCATGTTTGTGTAATAGGGAAAGAGAAGCATTTGCCTAAGTGAGAGGGCTGTTGGTCTTCAAAATATATGAGAGCCCTGGCATTTGTTCCCTTGGCATGTCTGTGTAATAGGGAAAGAGAAGCATTCACCTAAGTGAGAGGGCTGTTGGTCTTCAAAATTTATAAAAGACACACACACACACACACACACACACACACACACACACACACACACACACACACACAGGATTGCTGGCTGCACAGTAACTGACATTTAATTCAATGCTTGGAAACAGCACAAAAGCAGTCAGTTTAACAGAATCACTTGTCATTTTAGCATTAAAATAGTGTGTAACTTAACGCTTTGATTTCCCAACGCGCCATTTTATTTAGAAACAGACTTCTAGGAGCGTTCATCAGAGAACTTCCAAGATGTAAAATCCTGATCCTGTAAAAGTGGTTTCTGTATCTTTCATATTCATTAAACGATGTGCAAATTAATGGTGATCGGTTTATTTTTTACCTGTTTAAAGCGTTGTGCAAATTAGTGGTAATGTTTTTTACCTGTTTCATTTCAAACAAAACCCATATTCTTCAATCAACGTCAATTAAAGTATTTAGGACTATTCAAGAGCTAGCAGGTAAAAGAGAAATTAATGTTTATTTAATTTCCCGGACGCTCTGGACCAAAAATTTTCGTTTGATCTCTCTTGAAAGGGTCTCTAGACGCCCGAGACGCCGCTCTGGAATCCAGCAAACCAAGGAAGCGGGTTTGCCGTGCACCCCTCTTGGGAGTTTTCAGTCGCCACACTCTTTCAGGTCCCGACAGAACGTGGGCCCCCGCGTTTGGACTAGTGCTTGGGTAGGGCTGGTGTTCCCGAAAAACAAGCTGGGGAAAGGAGCCGGAGTCACGGAAGCTCATTCTCAGCACTTGGGAGGAGGAAGAGGACTTTTGGAACCTACTAACTAACTCAGTACTCCTGCCAGGCGCCCCGGACCTGCTTCAAGCGCAAGAGCGTCCAAGTTGCCTCTCCGGCAAAGCGCTCCGGAGTTGTGTCTCGCACCGCTGCCACGCCGCTCTGAAAACGCTCCACCAAGCAGAGATTCATGCACCCCCTACCCTGGCGCCCCAAGGGTTGGTGGTCCCGGTGACAAAGACGGTCTGGGCTGCTCCCACCTCTGGCAGTACTAGATGCCCTCCAGAGCACTGCCTCACTCGCCCAGTGCCAGGCCCCCCTTCCCCCGCAGCCCTGGGGCGGCAGAGTTGGGGTGTGAGTGGCTAACGGAGCCCACGCAGGCCCCCTCCCCCTGTCCCCGCCGCTTGGGGGAGGGAAGTGGCGGGGCGGGAGTCACCGAGCGTGATTGCCCGAGGCCCCTCCTGCCGCGGCGAGGGAGCGCCATAAAAGCCCTGGTGCGACCCGCTCTCGACACCCCATCCGCCGGTTCTCACCCACCGAGAGGCGCGCCGCGCAGCAGAGCCCTCGCCGCCCAGCCACGCCCGCCGCCCGCCAACCACCGTGAGTGCCGCGACCCACGAGGCTTGGGGAGTGCGCGCAGGGCTGCGCGGGTGAACTTGCTCACCGTCTGCGGAGCCCTGGGGCGCTGGGAGGGTCGTGCCCGGCTTTCCCTCCCTGCCCCGACGCGCGCCCGCCGCTCTTGGCGGCTGAACCCCCTGCCTCTTCGGTACCCCGTGGCTGGGCAGCTGCCCCTCCCGGGCCCTCCCGTCTGGGCGGCCCCTCTGGCTTATCTTTCTGCGGATGAGGAGGGAGACCACCACCTCCAACCCAGGGCAGCTGGCAGTTTCCTCGGGAGTCGCCGCCTGGGGGCGTTTCCAGGCAGCGCCCCCTGAATGAAGAATCCCTGGAGCTCGTTGGACCCGCGCCCTGCCACCTGCCGGGATCCTGGGCATCCGAGCTGAGACTGACTGTCCCGGGGGGCAGTTCTGCCCCTCTCCCCCCAAATGCCAGCCGAAGTACTCTCAGCCATCACCGTCGAGCTCCTGCCACCAGGCAGACCAGAAGTGTCAAAAGAAGAAACTTTTCTCCTCTGACGGGCTTGGGGAATTCCTTAACCCAGCGGGTGGAACTTCCAATCCTGTTTTTAAAGTGTCTAAACTGGCCCGGGTGCTCCTCCCGCTCTGCGCTCCTGCCTCGCGACTTGGCCCGAAGTTGCGCGTGGTTTTCGCGCGGAGCAGAGGGCCCGGGCCGGAGCTGCGGGTGCTCGCCACCCTCCGCTTCGCTCTGCGGGACTGGGTCGAGGGCGGGTTGGGGGTCAGGAGTGGCTGCAAGGGGAGGAGTGCGGGAGGCAGATGAGGGAGATGCGGGGCGTGTGTCCTGAATCCTCAAGCTCTTACGCTGCCTTCTGTGCCCGCAGATGCTGGGTAGTAAGCGACTGGGGCTGTCGGGACTGACCCTTGCCCTGTCCCTGCTTGTGTGCCTGGGCGCGCTGGCCGAGGCGTACCCCTCCAAGCCGGACAATCCGGGAGAGGACGCGCCGGCGGAGGACATGGCTAGATACTACTCGGCGCTGCGACACTACATAAACCTCATCACCAGGCAGAGGTGGGTAGGCTCCGCGGGACCGACGCGCGAGAGCCCTGCACGCGCACCCGGAGGTCCTGGGGACCGTGGAGGACAGGACATTTCTTTCATTATATCCCAGAACAGGACAGTATCAGGCACACACTCAGCTCTCAGTAAATGTGCAGGGCACTGAATACTTTTCTTCTGAAACTGCAGTCACAGAGTCGTGATCCTCAGATTCAGGTCGCCTAGGCTGTGTGGCTGGTCCTCTCCTGCCTCGCACTTCCCGGTTTCTGTTGTTCTTACAGCAGTTTGGGGATTGGACACCTGCGTGGGAAAGTACCCCGTGAAAGGGGTAGGAGTGCTGTAGGGGAAGGGGGAGCAGGGCGTCTAGTAACAGCAACAAAAACCAGCGAAAGAGAAGCAGCTGGGCTGTCCAAGACCTTGACACATTTTCCAGCCTGCCCAAAGAGAATTGAATGACAACATTTAGGAAAAGATGGCTATTTTCTTTTCTTCTGTACAGCGTTTTTTGCACTCTCAGCCTCTTACTTGAAAATCCTAGCCCCAATAAATAGAGATTTAACATGAAAATAGTGGATCTAAGATGCAGATACTTTTCCCATTTTGTAGCAGATGAGTTCTGAAAAGGAAGCGCTCACTTTTGTGCTTTATTAAGGAGAAATGTACATTGGTCTATTCACCCTCTGATGGATCTAAGGATTATATGGAATTTGAGAAATTTGTAAAGTTAATTTTCAACCCCCACAAAGCTAAAAATGAAATACCTCATGTTCATTTTCCACATCAAATATTAAGTGAAAAATCACATCCAAACTATTTTACAAATAATATAGGATTTAAAAATTGTTTCCAAAATTGGTTCATCTTAGTTCTAAATTATTGATATCTTATTTTAAATACTGAGATCAAGTGGGATGAGCCCTTTAAAGGCATTAGTATGTTTAAATTGTGTTTTGTTTTGTTTCTGTTTTTACCGTATCTTTACTGTTTACAATCAAGGAATGGTTAGAAAGGATTCAAAGTGGAAAATTTTTTATTTCTTAAATAAAATTTCCTTTTTTTCTGTTCCATCAAAAAAGGATACGACATCCTGAAAAGCTTTTGAAAAAGTCCAAGGTTATATAGAATCAGAAATAGACGAAAATGCCAGAATTAAATGGTGTTGGTTTGTGACCCTTGAAATCTAATAATTTGAATAGCAGAAAGCAATAATATTTTATATCGTAGTAGACTTCTCAGAAAATTGCTTCAAATTCTTGTTTATGCTAACATATTGAACAGAGAAAAGAACTTGTACAAATAAAAAAGATACTAATTTTTATTTTTTCTAGTAATCTTTGTTTTTCACTTAGTCTGTCAGTTGTAACACACAGAACTCATTTCTGCAAAGATGATTGCTAAAAAGGTTTACTATGTATAAAGGTTTAGCATTTCAAAATGTTTTCCTAGGCATTATGTCATTCAATTTTTACCTAAAGCTTTGGAGCATAATTATCTCCATTTTACAGGCCATGAAACAGTAACTCAGAAAAGCTTTGTTTAGGGTTGCTGAAATTGGAGCAACGGATTTACCTTGGTTGTTGTCACCACCATTAGCAGTCAGTGTGATTTCTGACTTCTTTAGTAAGGAAAAAGTAAGGAAAAGGGATTTGAATTTCATGGGAAGCGATTCAGGTTCCCTAGGAATGAGTTGGTCCTGAAGCAGCTTCCCGTCTCATCTTCATCTAAGTTCCTTCTTAGAAACCATTAGAGGCTTATAATCTCACCATTATCTCCTTTGTGTACTCTCATTGCCTTCCCATTGCCCACTCACGTTTGGGTTTTTGAAAGTTACAGTGTCATTTGTGAACACATGTTTTGGTTTGACAAAAATGGTAATCTAATATCTTTTTCTTTCCTCCCTTTTATGGCTCTGTCCATGTTTTAAAGCTATATGCTCCTGGTTCATTGCTTCCAAAGTTGCATCATTTATTCTAGAACATGTATCTACCACATTTTGTTCATATAGTCCCCTAGATCCATGGTTCTCAACTGGGGATGACTTTGCCCCCCAGGACATTGGGCAATGTCTAGAGGCAGTTTGGGTTGGCACAATAGTGAGTGGGTGCTCCTGCATCTAGCAGGTTAAGGCCAGGCATGCCTCTAAACATCCTGCAAGGCCTAGGACAGCCCCTCCCAATAAAAACAATTATCCAACCCCAAATGTCAATCATGTCAAAGTTGAAAACCCAGCTTGGTATTAATGTTTCTTCATCCTGGGTGCACATTGGAATCACATGGGGAGCTTTTAAAATACACCTCTGATCATTAAGTCAGAACCTCGGGGTAAGGGTGAGGCCTGGGCTTTATAGTAGTTTTAAAAGCCCCCCAGGTGATTCTAATGTGCAGCCAAGTTTATGAATCATTTCCCCAGAGAGTCTGTCTGTGCGCCTGAAAGCAGTACAGACAGGAAGGATAGCCCAGAATTAGCCAGAGGAGGGAGAACAGTGAGCGCTGTGCTGGCGCTGCCCTGAGACTGCAAACTCAGCCATCAGCGACTGGGATTCTTCTCTGGGACATTGGAGAAGATGTTTGCCAGTTCCTTCATTTACTGGAGCATGAAGAAGATAAATGGGGGAAGGTTGCTCAAGAGTTTAAAGATTAGTAAAAATCAACTGATGGACAGGATAAGTAAGTAGGTGCAGCAGCCTATTTCACAACTCTAGAAAAATCTTTGAGGAAATCTTACAAATGATGGCGGGGTTGGGTGGGTGGTGTTTGTTTTGTTTTTGTTTCCCTTGAGTCCCAGCAAGGGAGCTGGGAAATCTTTCCAAAAAATCTGGATTGAATTGTGCTTGATAGACAGTTAGAATATATCCTCTGACAGCTTTGTTCTGCTGTTTCACCTGCTAGCTAGTCAGTCCCTGCCAGGCAAATTTTTCATTTGTGAACAACATAGCTTCTGGTGTCCAAGGCCTTTTCTGAAAAAGGGAAAAATAGCCTGTTCAGAAGATACAACTTGGTAGAGATTTTCAGACCCTTTAGCATAAGAGAGAAAGGAGAGAAGACTGAGGGGCAGACAGCAGGTTACTACTCAGTCACCTGGAGCAGGTAGCATACACTGAGCTGGCAGGAAAGCAGAGCCTTGCATTCCTGTATTGTCCTCTCCATATCCTGCTACTGGAGAAAAAGAGACCATGAACATTTCCATGGACAAGTAGGATCCCTTTAGATTTTTCAGGGCAGATAAAATCATGGCATGAGAGAAGACCTTTAGCTTTTGATATCCCAAGTAAATATGGAAAATGCAGGCCCCATGTTCTGTTGCTGTCTGAAAGACTGGGAGTATCTTAAGAGCAGGAACTTGCATTTGTGTATCACTTTGTTCCTTTCAAACCATTGTGACTCACATTGGATTTTCACAAAGATAGGAGTGATGCTTTTATTTTTACAAATGAGAAAACTGACATTCAAAGACATAAGTGGGTATAGAACTTCAGCCTGTTGATTTTTCTTAGGGCTGTTTCCAAAATATCATCTGGTCTCTGTTAAGATTTAAACTGCTGTATATCATCAGAACTATAGCCAAATAACTAATTATGGAAACATTTAAAATCATACTTTGATGTATTTTTATTTCTTGTCACCCAGTAATATAAAAATATTTCTATACATGTATTGTTTGTGGTTGTATAAAAGGCAAGAATGTGACTAGGAATTTTGGTTCATTAAATAGTAACAAAATCATGTATATATTTTGAAATTTTATTTCTGGTATTTCTGATAATGTATATTTCATACACCTAGATTACTTGCTAGCAGATATCAACCAAATGGGAGACTATCTTCTTTTTTTCCAAAAGGTTTTTATGACTTCCAAACTTTTGTTTTAAAATACTTTCCTTTTTTTTTCCTTTTAGATACGGAAAACGATCTAGCCCTGAGACACTGATTTCAGACCTTTTGATGAGAGAAAGCACAGAAAACGTTCCCAGAACTAGGTATGAAAAGGTTTATGTGAGGACATTGTTGAAGAATTCAAGGTGCCCAGGGAAGCGAAATCAGAGAGGGCTGCCTGGGGAGGAAGATGTGGAATGGGGTCTGCCAGACCAGGTAGCTACGATTTGGGCAGAAAAGGGGAGCATTCGGGCAGCATGGCAGGGAAGATCGCTCTTTTCACATGTTGACTTGCCCATATCCATAGACATCTCTGGGGTATTATTTTCTACCCCAGATTATTTGATTAAAATCTTAAATATAAGTGACTTTACCTCAGAAACAACTCTGGGTTAAGATTGGGAGAGCATAGAGGGGGTTCCAAACTCTACACTGAAATGACCAACTGCCCATATTTGGCTGGGACAATCTTTAGTTTTTATACAGCATGTGGACTGTCTAGATATCCTATGACATGTCCCTCATGGCTCTTATCCCAGTCTCCTTGGTTTTACAAGAAGCTGTACAAGATGAATCTTGGGGGCAGGGGCTCCTGTTTACTTTTTGACATATTTTAAGTTCAATGGAAGTCACATAATAATTTATTGCATTCAATGAATGCATGTTAACAATGTAGTATTATTCAGGCCTGTCTGTAACCTTGGGGCTTTCTTGGAGTGTGGAGCTGTCTTGGGAAGAGGTGCTTACCAATATCTAGGTGTCAAACCCTGGTCTAGGATTCTCTGGTGCCTCCCACACGGGCAGTGCTGCTGATAAGCAGCCTGGTCTGCCTTCGTTTTCATAACTCCCTGGCTCTTCCATCCAATACCTCCTGCTTCTACCCCCAGTAGGATCAATGGCACCTGGTTCATCCATTTTTATAATAGCTTGTCTGCCTTAAACCCAGAGCACCACCGCCAAGAACCAAACTCCCCAGAAGAGGTCACTAGAACACTTGCTTGGAGACTGGGACAGACGTGCTGCTCTTCATTGGGGTTCTTTCTCCCTGAAGAACTAGCGGGATGACCTGAGCTTATTGCCTTCCTGCCACCCCCACCCCCAACTCTGTTCTCCTGTGAAAGGGCCAGTGTGAAGGGGCAAGTCTATAGTTATCAGTTAGTCTCCTCTGAAGGAAACAACAATTTGGACTAGAATCACACTCCAGTGCTCTTTTCCCTGGAGGTACCAGTCCAGACTTAAACAGCAAATGCAGGGGAAGCAGATGGAAAATTCCCGGGGGTTATTTTTAAACACTAAGCAGCAAATGCTTTTTAATGTTTCATTGACATGCTTATGATGCTTGTCACAGTAAAAAGCTTAGGGTAAGCTGAATCTACTCAGGGTAAGAAAAAGAATCATCCAGACCTAGTTACACCCTTGCTGCTGCTCTTTGTTTTGTGGTCCAAAGTTGCACAGTTGGTGCATGAAATAGAGTTAATTGCACCCTGATGGACAGCCTCAATGACATGCAGTTAGATGGAAACAAAAGTTGGCAGCTTTAAAGTTGCCTATGAATGCTATTTTATTAAAAAGCGTTCTTTATAGTCTAATAAATAGCATCTTCCTACCCAAAAAGCCTTGCAGGAAAACAAAGGAGGCTTATTCAGAATTGGGTAACAATACCTTTCTTGTTACAGTTTTGTGTGATTCCTGTGGTTTTGATCTTCAGAAATACTGCAGAGTTCTTCGGCATCTTTGATAAATTTAGAGCCTTCTAAATACTCCCTCTGAGATTTGTCTGAGACTCCTATTAAATGAGTGAAAGCTCCTTTGCTGGGTCTTTGCACTTTATGCCACTATCTCCCACACTGACATTCTACTTGGCCTCCTATTTAGAGGGCCAACGAGAGCCTTTCAACAGTTTCTGATCATCTTTTGGTCCAGAACTAAATGTCTCACTCTTGCAAGCTTCCCAGGAAGTTGGGAAACTTCTCTTACATGTTTTGCTTCTTATGTTTGACAGGCTGGAAGACCCTTCTATGTGGTGATGGGAAATGAAACTTGCTCAGCGGTCTTTGCCTATTTTTCAACCAATATTTCATCCTGTGAAACTAGAGTCTGCCAGTTCTCCCAATGCATGCAGCCACTGTGCTCAGCTCTGCAGTTTTCCCTTTGTTGTCATTGTATATATGTGTGTTTAAATAAAATACCATGCATTCAAAAGCATCTGCTCTTCAATGAAAAATCTGTTGTTGCAATACTGAGAATTATGTTGTTATTCATTAAATTGCAATCTCCCTCAAGTAGCAGATTCAAGGTTTGTTTCACCAATATTAAAGCAGTGGCTGTGGAAGATATAAAAATATGATTTATGATGAAGATGACTCAGGTGTGTGTGTGTATGTGTGGTAACAATAAACTATTTGGAAACGTTGAGCAAGGGACTGATAACGTGGAACAATTTGCTGAACCCCTTTGCCCACCCCATTCCCATGGAATCCTTGCTAACTTGTTAGCTCCTGCTATCAGCAGAAAGGAGTGCAGAGCTTTCTTCAAAATGTCCTGTATCTCCTCTAAAATGGTAGCCACTAACCACATGTGGCTTTTGAACACTTGAATGTAGCTGTTGCAAACAAGGAGCTGAGTTTCAAATTTTTCTGAATTTTAATTGAAATAGCCACATGTTCCTAGCAGCTACTATGTCAAACAGCTAAGATCTATACATTTACTGTTAGGCTACTATATTTAAATTTGTGTCATAAACAGAAATACACTTGAGTAGGATGATCACTTTCCACACAATATGGGGCATGTTAATTCATTTAGTTAAAGGTCATTAAACTTTCTCCCTCCTATATACATGGGCTTAGTTTAAAATTTGTTATTAGATTCTTCCATGTGATTTCTAAATCAAAGAAAATGGGTCTCCCCTTAAATTCGTACTTTGAGCCACTGTAAAAAATATACACAAATATTTTTATGTGATGTGTTGAAACTGCTTACAAAAACCCCCTATATATGGTGACTTAAGGAATCTTATCTACATATAAAGAACCCTAACATTCTTCAGCCGTTGTAATCAATGATACAAACATAATCTCCCTTAATGAAACTGAGGTAACACTGCTCTGCAATTTTCCTTAATTTCTCTTCTTATTTATTTGTGCTTAAAGAAAACATAGTAGTCAACACCTCCCAACCCTTATCTGTGGTTTTGCTTTCTGCAGTTTCTGTTACCTGCAGTCAACCTCCATCCAGTAGCAGATGATTGTCCTGACGAATCGTCAGAAGGTCAATAGTAGCCTAACTCTACCTCACACTGCTACGTCATCCACGCAGTTCATCTTATTGTAGGCACTTGATCTTCTCACATTGTCACAGGAAGAAGGGTGAGTGCACGACCGCAAGATATTTTCAGAGAGAAACTATATTCATATAGTTTTTATTATAGTATATTGTTATAATTGTTCTAATTTATTATTGATAATCTTACTGTGCTTAATTTATAAACTAAACTTTATCAGAGGCATGCATGTATAGGAAGAAACAGTGTATACAGGCTTCGGTACTCTGTTGTACAGGCGTCCACTGGGGGTGTTGGACTGTGTCCCCTGAGGGTAAGGAAGGACTACTGGGCCAAATATAAAGCGTGTTTTAAACCTTAAAATGTTGAGAAGGTCATAACATATTATAAAACCTCAGAAGTTTTTTTTATTAACCTAGTATATTTGATTCCTTTACTGAAACTAGTATTATGCAAAGAAATTTGGTAGCACAAATATGCTGAATGTTCATCACCATACACAGAACTTTTGTTTACATGGAGCTCAGCAAATAGGAATAATGTATAGGAGCCATTGAAAGATAATACAGCAATTTCGTTTTATATAAAAGTTTCAACGTCGTACTGCAAAATGTAGATGCTGGAAAGGCTAAACATTAGGCAGCCTACCTTTTACATGTAACTCAGGTCTTGATAGCTTGTCTCTCGCCTCATCTGACTAGAAAGAGGACTGGAGCTTCACACCGTGTGAGCTCTGCACTCCTGGCTCAGTGCTTCTGGGTTCTCTGGCCTTCAAATTCGCCAGACTTTCGAGCTCTCACTCATTCAATGTGGACAATAAGTTCTGGCCACCTTTCCTTTTAAGTCTATACTGGGATAAAAGTTCAATTTAAGATAATGTTACAGTAAGTAATAGTAGGGATATAGATAAGGATAAAGGTTTTGATGATTGTTGTGTTGGGTTATAAATCCCTTGCTATAGACTGGATGTTTGTGCCTTTCTACATTCATACATTGAAATCTAATCCCCCATGTGGTAGTATTTGGAGATGGGGTTTTTGGGGGAGCTCTCACGAAATAGTGCTCATGTATACAAGGGACTCCAGAGAGCTGTCTTGTACCTTCCATCATATATGGGCACAGCAGGAAGACAGTTGGCTATGAACCAGGGAGCAGGCCCCCACCAGGTTTTAAATCTGCTGGTGCCCTGATTTGCAACTTTCCAGCCTCCAGAACTGTAAGCAGTAAATTTCTGCTGTTGCCACTCATCTATGGTAATTTGCTATAGCACCCTGAATAAACTAGGCTTTCCCTAATAAACAAGAATTTGCTTCAAGAAATACAATACTGGCTAACTTAAAAAAATTGAAAAGCTACATTCCAAGAGATTCCCTAGTAGTATTTCTTAAATATTTTCAGCCTGCTAACCCTCCTTGAAATAGGTGTAAAGGCACCAGTTCACCCACCTGTCATTGCAAATAATAATGATCCTCACTAGAGCTACAGTAAGAATAACCCAGCCTTCATTGGTGAGATGTCTACAACAACATAATTATTATCAAGCTTTTATATAAGCCTTTATTAAGCTCTCCTCTAATCCAAACTCTATTCTACATTCTAAAAGGAAAAGAGAATAGAGGAAGAGGCCAGAAACCTCTGTGGGCCAAGGCTAACACTTAGGCCCTTCAAATTCTGCATGTGCAAAGCTGTTACTCTCTATTTCAGGGGCAGAGGAATCTCCTCCCTCTCTAACAAGAAATGGGCACAAAGCGTTGCAAGAGCCATGAAGGGGTACCACTCCAGGCAGCCAAACCTGCCGGAGGTACCGAGGCCTGAGCTGAGGTTTGAAGGAGGGGAACCAGTTGCGTGATGAGGAGTGTGAGACAGGAGGGAGAGGACATGCAGATCTGAGAGAGCAGTGCCTATTTGGAGTACTTTGTAATTATTCTTGGTTTCTATCCTTGAATTTGACCCTATGCTAGGCCAAATCAGGACTCTACTTCTCAGCCTGAGGGCTCCTAAGCATGATCCTATGGACACATTTGCAAGTTCAGAGAATAAATGTTGTAGGATTGGTCCTATTCTCTAATTTAGGAAGGAAGAGACTTTCCTTAATATCTTCCATCCTCTTTTCCTTGCTTAGATAGAAGTCAGGACAGAGAAGCATATAGCACCTGGAGGGCCTTGCATGCCATGCTGCCATACTTGCTGCTAAGTAACTGACGAACACACCTGTCCAAAGCTAGGCCCCCAGCAGGCTCTATGGCTCTACTGATGACAGGAAAGTCAATATGATGGCAGTTAATTGTCTCCCTCTTTCTTTGTACACACACATGCATTATGCTTACAGCATTACTTATTACTGTGTTGGCATGCAAAAATGTTTTTTCTCCTCCATGCAGAACACTGGGATCAGTTACAATGTTGTCAGACCTAAACAAATAACCTTTCCTGTCATCATAAATGGAAACAGCCTTTTGGGTGAGTTGTTTCAATGGAGTATTCCTTTACTGTGGTCTGTAGGTAGGAGGATTATAATATTGTCACAACTAAATGATTGCCTTTTCTTCTGCCTATTAGAAAAATTAGTACAGTGTGAAATCATGCAGAAACTTTTTCTCTTTTTAAAATCGGAGTGGAATAACATATAATTAATCATATGTGTCATCCAGGGGCTCATTTCTTAATGTGCTAAGTAATAGCTATCGATTTAAACTCATCCTAATACTGCAAGCTTGAAACACTGCAGTTCAGAGAATGGCTGATTGTGGTGACAATGTCTTGCTGGCTGACACATAGTAGTTGCTCAGCAAGACCATTTCAGTCTGGAGTTGATTGCAATGACAGAGTGATCCTGGTGGAGCCAAAACAAATGCAGTGTTTGGTGAACAACCTCAAAGGATTCTTTGTGATTCTTTCTGGAGCTGCAGGTACCATATATGCAGGGTCCTGACAGAAGTACAGTTTGTTTGGCCACAGCTTGCTGGAGCTCTCAGAGTTATTTATAGAACAGACTGTTCTTTTCCCTCATTTCAAAAGCCTGATTCACCTTGGATTACCTTTTGTGTCAAGTTCATGAAGAACTTTTTTTTTTCAACCTTGAATATTGTGGTACCAGACTTCTCTAAAATACCTTTTGGGTCCCTAATGATTTTTCCCTGGCTTTGAGTTTAATGATTTTTAAGTTCTTGCAAATTGTTACCACTTACACTGCTAGCATATTGACAAATTAGCATATTGCACATATTAGTAATGTATTAGCTCTAACATGGGATGCATCTTGCATCTGTTTTTGTCTTTAGGCAAATTATTTTAGTATTTATTGGACCTTTTCTTGAAAACCATTTTATCTACAGGACATGAATTCCTTTAATTCCTAATCTATTCCTAATTTCAGGATTCTTCATTTGCCCAGAAGTTAACTGAGTTTGAAACTTGATTTGTTCCATGTATTTATTTGAAATTTGATTTGACTCATTAATTTGGCTGCTATACTCTGGTATTATGAGGCAATTTAAAGTTGAAATGAGAGCTTTTGACTAGAATATAAAAATCAAATTTACTCTTTCTTCTCACTAAGTAATACCTTACTCTTTGGGTATTAGAGAGAACAGCATTATCCAAATGACTTTTCAATTAAAGTTTGCCTGGAGTAATTTGAATTTTATTTGTTCTGAATTCTATATCTTTTCTATCACTTTCAATTCTTTTCAAATAATAGCAACCTACTAAATTAACTAGTCTGTGAATTTTAATGCAAGAATAAGCAATGTTGGCTGAATATATTTAATATAGTCATTCCTTTGAACAGACTGAATTATTGACAAGTTAAAATGGAACCAGATGATCTCTGATCAGTTTCTAGAGTCCCAAGGATGTTATCAATTCCTGAAACATTCACTGAGTAGTCTCTCTGTGACAGGTACTCTGCTGGGTTCTAAGA